TGTGTTAATGGGCCTAATCCCGTTTAATGATTTAAGTCATCTGGGTGTCCCATCACTAATCAGGGGCATCCCAGTAATTTCTTGTACCTTGTACTCTTCAGTTCTGTGGTTCTCTTCTCTTCTTTGCTACTTCGAGTATAGCTCCTCAGATTACAGTGCTCTGATACCAACTTGAATAAATTAGAACTGCTGCTGTGTAATCTGAGAAGAGACACACAGGTTCGAAGAAAAAGAGAGAGAGAGAAGAAGAATGGAAGGAAGAAAAGAGAGGAAGAAAGAAGGGGTTCGGTTGTTGCTATCTTCTGCCCCATACACTTTATTATTTATAGCCTTTGGTTCCTTACAAGAATAGGAGAGAAAAACATAAAGTCCTAGCCCTAGTAAAACAAAACATAATAAGGCCAGCCGGCCCAATCTTAAAAGAAAATAAAAAATAACTAGGAAATAAAAAAGGTGTGGGTATGGAACCACACATTACTAGAGCCTGAGTGTGGGTATGGAACCCCACACTCGTGACTTGGTAACTATTTCTTCATTCTTCAAAGACTGGTAGTTTGAGCCATTCAGCCAGATATGCAGATGGTACCTTCACGTTGAAGCCACTGATGGGATCATATGTAGGTTCTCATTTCCTAGGTTTTTCCATTTAAGCTTTTTTTATTGGTTTGGTACCATTTCAGAATATTCGTTAATGGCGGATAGGGTAAAAGGCCTTCATTTGGAGGCAGACCTTTCTTTATGAGCAATAAAAACATGAATCTTATTCAATTAAGGGAAGGTGGAGCAGTACAAAGACTGATAAGGCCTTTCTCTTGATCCTTAACATAAGGGACCATTACCCAATGATAGTACCAGCTATCCGGGGCCTTGGAGGGGTGAACTAGATATGAACTTGATCTTTGGCTCTTTTGCACAAAGTGGCCCTCCTCAGACTGAACCCTGCATTTTGAGTTCAGGGGTTCCATATATTAAAATATATATATATAAAAGGGTAAAGGAAAAAATGTATGAGGGATAGATTTTCTGGGGATGAAGTATTCCTTGAATTATGGTGGGAAGAAAAAGGGAGGTGAAAATAAAAAAGGACTAGAGAGAGAGGGAGAGAAAACTTCCAATGCATTTGGTTTGACTAAAAATGTATGAAACAATAAATATCCAGTTCAATTGACATTTGAAACATGCTAAATAATTGAATGCTATGGTTGTCTGGCTGTCACTGGCTGAATGAACTGTTTCTGTTTTTGTTTTTTTTTTTCCTTATTAGTAACTGTGGGAATTTTATTAATTAGGTAAAAGAATGAATATGTACAGAATGCCAAACATTCCCAAGAAGCAAAGTGACAAGCACTTTATTGAGACATTTTCCCCACCCTACAGTTAGTTTCTTACAACAAATTGCCCTGGGACATTTGTACCCTGTTCACCCCTTGCCTAGCCATTGCTTTGGCTAGCACATTTTCTGATTTGTAAGGTCAAGTGTTTCTGATTAATATAGAGTTCCAAGATTATCCTGAAACATAAAACTTCCTGGTGGATGGTACTTGGATTGATGGCATAAGAGAGTTGTATGCAAGCATATGAGATAGGGCCATTGATCCTTCCATTGGAAATTATTTAAAGAGATTAAAGTACAAAAATGCCCCAGTAACTCAATATTATCAATTATTCATGCCTACTCAACAATCCCCTCAAGCTAAGCATAGGTATTAAACATGCCCATTTTGTTTGAATTGTCCACAAGATTTTATTTGATGGCATCTTTGGTAAGTATATCAATTAGTTAATCTTCAGATTTCAGGAAAAGGTAGACAAATTTCACCATTAACTCTCTCTTTATTAAAGTCATAGTCCACTTCAAGGTATTTGGTCTTATCATGTATCAGATTATGAGGAATCCTGATAGTCACCTGATTGCCCTAGTAAACTTCTATTGAACCATCACATAATATTTTCAACTCTCCTAAAGAAGTTTTCAACCATAAAAACTCTGAAGTTCCATGTGTCATAGTCCTATATTCAACACTTGATCTTGCTACCATGGATTGCTATATCTTGTTACAGTAAATTGCCAAGAACAAAAGTATGGTAGTCTGAAGTAAAATGCCTATCATCAATAGAACCAAATCAACTAACCCAATCAACGTATGTATAGTCTTCATGTCAGAGACTCAGAGGTGACCATGGTTGGAATTAAGAATTCTTTAAACATGATATCTGCTTTGCTGCCTTCATCTGTAATGCTGGAGAATAGGCTTAGCTGGCCTCTCTGTATCTGAAAGTTGGAATGGTGAGTGGGAAGATCCTCGAGAATCTCCCGAGGCTGAGATCTGAAAAGCTCCTGTCTCCCTGAAACCGACAAAGAGAAAAGTAGTGGTCTGTCATTCTCTCTTTTTCTTACCTTGTCCCTTCTCTATCGGGTCAATTGTAGAAACACAAGGGAACTTTCTGGAGATTCCCACATCTGCCTTTACTTCATTCTTTTCTGAGCTATAGCGCGTGCACATTCTTCATGGTACATAGCTCTCTTTTCCCATGACCATACATCACTACAACTCCCTTGCCTTCTTATATCTTAAATTACTTAAGTGCGTCAGACTACCATCAGCTCATTTTCTCTTAGAATTCACAAGGTAGCTACTGAGTTTGCAAGTCTATTGTCTCAGAATTACGGAATTCACACTGTTTAATGATCACTATAGCACTATAGACTTTCACAATTCTCTGTTCTTACAATAGTATCAAAGATTGTGCACATACTAACACTGATAACATAGCAATATTAGACTAAGACAAGCACAAATACAACAGCCTACCAACTAGACATTGAAAAAATACCCTTATCAGGAAACTCTTCATCTTGATCATCACTATGTTTATGATTGGGATCAATATGAGTTTTTGTTGGCTTAGCTCCTAGTTTTCTAGTGTCTAACAAAAAAAATAAGGCTTTTTTTCTGGGAGGTGTTTCACCAAAAAATTGACACCTGATCTTTTGTGAGAAAGAAGACCTTTCTTGTGCTTGTTCCCACATGTTTGCTCTCTTTTTTGGGCAAGTGGTGAGTCTCCCTGTCACCCACTAATCTCCTGTTGTTTTGCTACATGGATTTGGGAAAGACTCTTATCTTTGTTTGGTTGCACATGGTCAATTCCCACTGATTTGGATGCTCTTTGTTTTTTATAGTTGAAAGATAATTTCATTAATCAAAGAAGATAAGCTGTTACATGCATCCCTTGGAGAGGCACGAGGTGCAGCCTCTCCTAAACATTACAGTGAAACAAGAAAAACAAGAAAAAAGTTACAAACTTGCCCAACATAGCTCTTCCCTAGATACCCCTTGTTTGGCAAGAAAGTTGGCAAAAAGCATTTGCTGACCTACCCACCCATTGGACTCTATTTGTCATGTGTCTTGTCAACCATTTAATTTTTTTCATAAGATCCCTATAGCTCCAAGTGACTGAATCTGGATTCAGCAACCAACCCACAATCACCTTAGAGTCCCCTTCAATCAGTAATTTCTCTACCCCAAGTTGGTTGGCAATTTGAATTCCTTGTACAGCAGCCAGCAGCTCAGCCCTTATAGAATCACCTACTCCCACAGGGCCTGAAAACAGTGATAAGATATTGCTCTCCTCAGTTCTCAAGACTCCTCCAATTCCTGAAAATCCCGGATTGCCTTGACATCTCTTGTCAAAATTCGGTTCATAAAACCCTCCAGAGGAGGTGCCCAAACAGCTGCAGATTTATTTTTCTTAGAGGACATGTTAGCTATTACAGCCCAGCTTCTCCAAAAATCAGCAAAGGAAAAGGGAGTAAAGGAGTCTAGGGTTCTCAGCCAGTGTATAGCTCTAGTTAACCTTCACTATTGAAAGTGTTCTCTCCTTGTCAAGAAAGATTCTAGAATTCCTTTTTTCCCAAATAGTCCACAGCGTGGCTGCTCTGAGGCATCTCCACATGCATCTCCCTTTTTTGTTGGCCAAACAAAGGTAGACGAGCTAAACAACAATTTTTACTTTTGATGGCAGAACCCACCTGCATCCAAATAAATCAGACATCCAATCCCGCAGAGCTGCAGCAAAGAGGCAGGAAATCAATAAGTGGTAGCAGTCTTCACTATGGGTTTTGCACAAAATACACCAGTTTGGGGATAGACACGAAAAAGGTCTTTTCTTTTGCAAGTTTTCCAAAGCATTAATCTTACCATGGTACACCTCCCAGCAAAAGACAACTATTTTGGGGGGAATAGGCTTGGTCCAAACTTCTCACATAGGGAAAGACCCAAGCACATCACTAGAACAGAGGGATTTGAAAAAAGAAGCACAAGTCAAAGAGCCTTGGGAAGGAGGGATCCACACTCTCTTATCAAAAGAAGAAGGGTCTAAACAAGCATTGCCAAGAGAAGAAAGCAACTCAATGACACAAAGAAGTTCAGCTTCCCGCAAGCCTCTACGAAATCCAAAATCCCAAAGAAAGAGGGAGGATTGGAGGGGAAAGGAAAGAAGAAATAAGCTCTTTTTTATAAAGGGAAAGAGAGTAAAGAGAGGGGAAAAGATCTTTAAGAGGCAAATTACCTACCAAGGTATCTTCCCAAAAAAGAACTAGATTGCCTGAACCAAGGTTTAAAGTATCGGAAACGCAAGGTGTATCGAAAAGACAACTTTAAGAGACATATCAGGATACTTTTTGGATACGCATGGATACGAACGAAAAATCAAGATACGCATAAGTATGATAGAAAACTCAATAAATCCTAAAATATATATTAATAACAATAGTTATAAGTTTTATATGATTGTAAATAAGTTAATTAAAAGTAAAAAAAAAAACTGCAATTTAATGGTTTATATAAAGTTTGAGATATCGGGACACACTTAGCAACTGTTGACAAAAGATGGAATAACTAAAATGTGAAAAAAGCAAACAAAAAACTAAAACGTATATGGATATAATTTATCTTAATATTTATTAATATATAAATTTTAATAATTAATTCTAACATTTATTGAGAAGCATACACTAAGAAAAAGAGAGCTTTTACTTAAAAATAAAAATGTGTAAATCTATAGCAAGCAAATGAGTGTGGCTCAGTGGTGAACCTCTAGTCATTAAAACCTAATTGCCAAGGTTTGAGTCTTGCTATTGCTAAGCTTTGTAGCTTTATATTAACATAACGAATTTAATGAGAGAGAATGCCAATTAGGCGCTAAAATTGAAATTCAAATTTAATTATAGGAGTAATTAACTAATTAATGAGAGAGAGAGAGAGAGAGAAATTACAATTAAATGTAAGAGTAAATACAAAATTAATGAGAGACAATTCGGCCTTAAATATAGTTTAATGAAATTAATGAGAGAGAAGGGGACTTAATTGTATGTATCGGACTGTTTTGGGTTTGTATCGGCCGATATGGACCTGAAACAGTCTGATATAGGCCCATATCTGTTTGATGCATACAATAAGGAATGCTACAAATGATTTCTATATGTTCCATGTATTGGACTTGTGCCAAAACAATAAGTTTCGGCCGATACAGTCCGATATGATGCGAAATTTTGAACCTTGGCCCAAAGAAACATTATACCTTACATATTGGAGAAATTTGGGAAGAATTCCATGTATTGCCTTCCAAGGAGTTGACGGGGTAGCCCAACGAGATGCTCTGGCATCCCAACCTGAACCAGAATAGCCATGAATGCTAACCACCACCCTATGCCACAAACTTTCTCTCTCTCTCTCCACCAGCTATCTCCACAGCCACTTCCCCAACAAGGCTTCATTTTTAAAAACAAAATTCCCTAAACCTATCCCCCTTCCCTCTTTGCTACAACTAACTATCTCTCAACTTATTAAATGGTCCTTTTTTGGCCCCTTGGTTCCCATAGAAAATCCCTCATCAACTTTTCCAATTTTTAGCTTCCCTAAAAGGGATCCTGAAAATAGAAAGGAAGTACACCGGAAGATTGGTAAACATGGCCCTGATCACAGCTAGCCTTCCCCAAGGATGTAGTTCTTTTTCCATGTTGCCAGTCTTTTTTCAAATTTCTCTACAACTGAATTTTAAAAACTACTTTCCTTAGGATTCCCACCCAAAAGTAAACCCAAATAAGTCATGGGCCAGGAGGCAACAGAGCGTTCCAAGCAAGCATCAATAGATTCAACCTCACTATCCTCCAAATTGACACCTACCACACAACTCTTTTCAAAGTTGACTTTAAGGTTGGAGACATTCTCAAAACCAATTATTAGATCCTTAAAGTTGCTCACTGACCTCAAATCGCTTTCCTCACAAAATATGATAATATCATCCGCAAATTGAAGGTGGGTCACTAAAACACTATTTCAACCRATCTTACAACCACTTAATACCTTCTCCTTATCTTCTTTGGAAATCCATTTAATAAGCACATCCATCACCAAAGTAAAATGGAAAGGAGAGAGTGGATCACCTTGTCTTAAACCCTT